TCACCCGGGAGGTCGGTGTTTGCTTCCCTAAGATTGTGTTCTTTTTTTCTAAACCCAACATACATCCAGATACATCAACTTTGTTTTCAAAATTCAATCAGGAGAGACTAATTTTTATAGTAAAAGATTAAGGAGGATGATGAATCCATAGTCGAATAGAGAACCCCCCTGGGGTCGAGGAAATGAGAAGAAGATGGAGAAGTGCTGATGATCTGGATGAGTAGAGGAATGAGCCTTTGCTGAGCTCGTCCTGGCCTCTGGATATGATGGCTGGAGGTGAACTGGGTGGAGGAGGGCGTAAAGATTCTGCCTAAAATGACAGCTGACAGCAGCAGAGGAGAAAGCAGGATTAAAATTTTGCAGTAGCATCCTGATTGGCTGATAGAGATCGTGGCGAAGTTTGATTGGATAACTACAAGAGTGAGCACCCATAGTCAGCTGATTAGAGGAAGCAGTGGGAGTGGGAGGGAGAGAACTGTGAATGGATGAGCACAAAGAAAGTCTTCCTGATTGATCTTAGGCTGAGCTTCATTTGTCAAATAAATGTAAAAGAGTTAAAAAAGTTGACATTGGACAAAGTTCCCTCTGAATTTTTGTGTAGTAGAAGTATAATACTCAAGTGAGGTATAATTGCCTAGAAACTTTACTTTCTTTACACTACTCTGTCTTGTTGATATAAACGTTCTCAACCCAGATGTGTTTGCCTCTTTAAGAAACATTTACAACTTAATTTATAGCTTCTAGATCATAAATGCCACCATGCTCTGTAATACCTGTCTGTGTATATCATAACTTTACAGCTTTTAGAAAAGGAAATGTCTGTATGCCAAGAATATTCATTTAAACAGGCTTGTTGAGCACCAGTTTTATACATCAGTATAAATCTGCCAGTGAGGCTGTAGAACAGAACACGACAGAACAAGAGTGCTCAACTTCATCGAGCAGAAATATTTATTTGTGCCGCACACTGGCCAGCAAGCACAGGTAGAGCATTAGTGAGCCAGGTGATTAATATAAATGCTTCCGCTCTAAACACAGGAGCAGGAGCAGCTACTGGAATTGCTGGCCTGAAGGAACTGGTAAATGTGCTGAGGGAGTTATCAGTGTTTCCCGCATAGCCAGCGAGCACACAGGAAAGCTAATTGGCTTGGACTAGGTGGGGGCCAGTGTAACATATTTCATTAGGTACAAGAGAGAGAGACAGTAATAAAGAAGAGTGTTGGTTCCTCTCTCTAACCAGTCATCTGCCTGCACATTTTCATTATGCTCATGCAGACAAATGTGCACAAACAAACACAAAATTAAACATTTTGGTGTCTTCCATTTGCAAGCCTGCTGTGGTTAAGAAAAACTCTGATGTACTGTCAGCAGAACAGTAACCACCATATTAGAGGTAACTGCTTTTTATTTGCATAGGAGTGTGGGAGGCAGATGGTGAAGCCTCATGTCAGTAGATGGAAGACTGTATTTGTGTGTGTGTGTGTGTGTGTGTGTGTTCCTGAGAGAGATGAGAGCAAGACAGAGGAAGACAGACTTTTGCTGACCAAGCTGAGCCTGAATCCATTGCTAAGTCTGCCAGTTAAACAAACATTTCAGAGTGGTTGGGTGGAGGCAAGAGCATTAAATCAATTAAGTGACATGCCAGCATCCTGCTTTATGATCCACACATCTGCCCATATGGATTTAGAGAAACCAAATTCCATTTTTGATGGTCCTCTTTATCTTTATACCAGCTTTTGTGCGGCGGATTTTTGTAGCTTAACCTGAACTGTACGCTGCTTTTTGATAAACACACAGATTATGTGCCCCAGCCAGCTGAGCACAATTCATATATTTACATCCCAGGTGGGTAACTGTAAATCAATACGACTCAGGCTTAAGATGATGTCTAGCAGATGTGACACAGGCGAATGGGAATATATGTTTATTCTTTAATAGGGTTTATGATGTTCAGAGTCAGTGAGGTGTGAAATCTATGATACTGAGGATACTGATCAGCGGGAAAACATGAATCAGCTAAAAGAGCACTAGGAGAGTGCAGACCTCCACCAAGGACAATAGCCCAGTCTTTTATGATATGCAAATCTGCAAGCATAACCACTATGTCTGGATGTATTTCCGAAACTATTACACTGATCTCAAACTATGGTTGTGCCTTGCTTTGGCCTTTTCATCTCAGCTGGGCATTTCTAAATGAGAAATATATTACATATAAAATATCTGCGAAAACCAGAAAACGCTCCATCATGTACACATGGACAAATATCAAAGACTGGAATGACATCATGAACATCGCAGCATGTTATAAACAAAAAAAAAAATAGTTTTCAGTGTTAAATTTGGTGGTAAGGCTCTGTTCTGGGACCTTTCTGCCTTTCCTAGGCCTACGCAGAAAGTCTAAGGTGGAGAGAGCACACCTCTCTGCCCTTCCACGTGCAGACAAGGAAAGCCTGAGGCAGAGAGAGCATGAGAAATGCATGGGCCTGGGTGAGGTGGGTATTGGTTGGAGAATACTAGAATACTAGTTGAGTCAGGGCCACTTAAATCAAAGAAAACTTCATTTCCATTTGCAGTATTATATTTGGCGGTATGACTCTGTTCTGGGGCCTCTCTGCCTCTCCTAGGCGTATGCAGAAAGTCTCTTCCACACACCTATGTCGAAAGCCCAAGTCAGAGAGAGCACACCTCTCTGCCCTTCCACGTGCAGGCATGGAAAGCCTGAGGCAGAGAGAGCACACCTCCCTGCCCTTCCATGCCCCTACATGGGAAGCCTAAGGCAGGGAGAGCAGCAGCAAATGCCCCCGGGAACAGAACAGAGCAGCATCAATGACAAACGGAAATGACATTGATGAGTCAGACACAACATGAAAAGGAGGAGCTGGGGTGGAGGCGGGTTGCAAAGCAGCTTGCAGAGGAAGCAGCAACAGCAGGCAGGCCAGAGCAGTTTAAATAGGGCGCTCTGAATGAGATTTGCCAATTGGTTGCATAGAAAAGAATCATATGATCTATCAGCTGACTCCCTTCCATCAATCAGCTGCTCCATCAGTTGATCGGGCTGTTTGAGATCAGCTGATGTAGCTGGGATGTATCTTGTCAAAATTGAACTTTACTAACATTTACTGGATTTTAAGATATTCTACCATGGCCAAATGCTCTATCTGTAAACAGAATTGAAAAATTGAAATGTTTTTTCCTCGGGGTGTGTTACACATTTCCATGAAAGTGCCATGAAAATTGATCCAGTAGTTTTTCTGTAATCCTGCTGATAAACAAACCAACATAACATCCCCCGCCTAGGAGACTACCTCACCAGGGTGCTGCGTTTTCATTGGGTAAAATCGAGTTGCTACAGGGTGTTAACTGGAGGTCTGTGTCTCCCCCAGTCAGCTACCACCACAAACAGAATCTAATTTTGCGGCAAACACTGAATGTCATCAGATCTGAGTCACGTAGCTGTGCGGATGGCTTTGCTACAGTCTTGCTGTCTTCTTTGAAAGCTTTCCACTTTTAATTAAGACTGGAAGGAAAGGAAATAGTCCAAGAAAAAAAGCAAAGAGAGCAAGATGGGAAAAGGTTAAAGATCAAAACAAGATGCCTGAAAGATGACAATGTGCTTTTAAAATACCCTCATAGAAACAGGAATGCAGCAAATAAAAAGACAAGATGGAGACAGCAGTACATTTGGTTGGTATTTTGCAGGAAACAGAACCTCTCTAGATGTCTTGCAGATTCAAGTCTACGTAATTTACCAGTGCCTTTGAGGCACTGTTGCTGTATTTTCAGGGGATTAAGAAATGTGTTTGGTTGCACACGCCTCTGCAACTGTGTCAATGAAGTGTGGTCTTAGGCATGTGATGTGATTTGTGTCCTGTGGCTGTTGGGTGCCTCTAATCCCCAGGATACAGAAGCAGTGGGTAGCCTGTTAAAAAGTGTTGTGTCTAAGCAGGAGGTGAGGTGAAGATAACAGAGAGAGCCAACAGCATAGACTTTACAGGATATGATATGGTGAACCTAATGGGCACAGAGAGGATTTGGGCTGCAGGCTATAGTACTTTTTGTAGGTGAAAATGTTTATGTTGGTACCCAAATTGATAAAACAGCAGCTAATTAATAATAATTGGTTGCTAAGAGTGAAAATCCACATGTGCACACACAAAATGATAATTGAGTTTGTCTAATTGTACTGTTTATACAATTTGTACTTTTATGATGATTGGGCAGGTTCTAGGCTTTGAATTTTTTTGTCAGTCAGACCTGGCAATGCTGGTTGCAACTAATCGGTGGCTTGCCATGCCAGCAGGAATATTTATGGAACAACAGCTATCAGAAACAGAACAAGCTAAACAGGCTAATTTTGTCTCAGACAGTAGAGACCTAGTTGGACGAAAATGGGCAGCAGTTGGAAGCAATTACGTGTGTAAATCTGTTCTAAGTGTGTCTTATTCTGAGAGGTCATCCAAGCAGATGGTGCAAGTTCACTATAGGTGAAATCACAGTGTTCACATAACTTATGGGTAGAAAACCCCTGCATCATGTGCACAAAATAAAGCCACAAAAGCCACAAAAACAAAGGCCCATATAGAAAAGTATGCGCCATATTTAGAATATGTTCACTGCTTTCCTTTAGACTGCCATTTCCAATGGGGAGCTGAAGCTTTTATCTGAAAGCCACCAGACCCCATTGAGAAAAACAGTCATTTTACATCACTGTATACACAGGTGTTGCTGGTCAGCTGCTGCCTTGATTGGTTAGTGTGTAAGGTAAAGCAGACAAAAATATTCCACTTTGTGAGATATTACAAAGTAGTGATCAGGACAGAGTCTTTATGTTTCTGCTTAACCTGACAGCATTAAGTTTGTACCTGTATTGTTTAGTAAATTACAGAAGTAGCACTAATGGCTCCAGGCTTTCAGGATCAATCAATCAGTGTGATTATGTTGATCATCATGTAAAACAGGACACTTAACATATCCTCTTCTCCTGCCTTTCTCCATACCAGATGATGACCACACGCTGCGGATCCTGCTCTACTCGCTCATCTTCTTCCTGAGTGTGTTTGGCAACCTGCTGATCATTGTGGTGCTGACAGTCAATAAGCGCATGCGCACCGTGACCAACACCTTCCTGCTGTCGCTCGCCGTCAGCGACCTGATGATGGCCGTCTTCTGCATGCCCTTCACCCTCATTCCCAGCATCCTCAAGGACTTCATCTTTGGAGCTGCCATGTGCAAGATAGTGTCCTACCTCATGGGTGAGAGAAGGGGGAGTGGCGGGGCAGACTTTCTATCTCTATATTTTCCATCATACTCTACATTCATACCCACGTCAAAAATGGCTTCCTTGTTCACACATTCACTTTTGCCTATGTAGTATAATAGACACTCGGATACAAGGCACTACTTTTTTTGTTCCATTGTTGGAATTTTTGAAGAGAATACATAAAGCATACATAAGTGAAGGAGCGATTGGGAAATAGATGTGGGCTCGGTTGATATGGCTAGAATTGTTAAATAGGTATAAACTGCAAAGACTGGTCATATCAAGTACAAATATTTCATTTAGAGCATCAGTTACACAGAAAATATACGAAAATAACCAATCGTAAATATGCATTTTCCATACAGGGTTTATTTTACTATCTTTCATATTAATGGTCATCCATTTTTTTTTATCTGAAGAATTGATATGAACAAAGTCACATTTAAAAATGAAAATAAAATCACTAAAAGCTGAGTTTAAAAAAGAAAAATGTGGGGGCGACCTCTGAATGACCTTGTAGAGTGTGTGCATCATGTAGGCTGAGTCCTCTGCAGCAGCCTCATTTTGATTCTGATCCACGGCCCTTTGCTGCATGTCATACCCCCTCTCTTACCCACCTTTCCTGTCTCTCTATAGCTGTCCTATCAATAAAGGCAATGAAAACGCCCCCAATAAATCTTAAAACGAATAAATGAATTAAAAAGAATTCTGGTAAAAATTGCTTCCTGAAACGCTGTAGACGTTTATGGACCAAGCAGTTATGGGGACTTCCTGAGAGGAACTGCCATGAGCTCCCCAGAGAACTACATATGTACATTTAAGGGCCCTTTTTTCTGTTTGCATCTGCAACCAGGCCCGCCATCAGGGGGGTCAAAGGGTACAGATGACCCCAACCCAAGGCCAAGGGGTGGCCTGTGAAAAGATCTTTGGTTGACCTTTAACTGGGATCAAGTACAACAATTTACTTACTGATTTATATCACTCACAATACAAGTTATGTGTATTTACATAATAAATAATGGTGCGGTCCATCTGACATCAGTCAGGTGCACGATGTGCAAAACTAACTAAGTGCTGCTGATGTAAAAATGTGAGGCACACTGCAACCTGACAAGTCAGCATGCCTCGCCAAAATCAGGGACTCCTAAACGAGAAGCCAGGGTACAGAGAGAACAAGAAAACTAAAGGAACAGGCAAAAAAAAAGAGGAAGACTAATTTTTAGTAAGAAAACCTGCTGTAGCAGGCTTAATGTTAAAGCTACAGTGGAGACATGGGTATCATATCGAACTAGAGGATCTAAGGTGGGAACTGTCCATTGGTCCAATAGCCCATTGGTCCAACATCCCATTGTTCCGACCATATTAAACCCATTGTTCCAAAGTCCGTTCCGAAATCATCATGATGCCCTGTGGTTAAGGTCTGGTCAGGTTTAGGCACAAAAACCACTTGGTTAGGGTCAGGAAAAGATCATGGTGTGGGTTAAAATGAAAAAGAAAGTGACAAACACATAAGCTGCGAGCCTGCTTCGCCTCAAGCCTTTCCCAGCTGACCCAGAGCCGGTCGCGACGCACCATCAAGCGGGAGCCATTCAGCACCACGGACCGTCGGATTAATGGGCTGTCAGACCAATGACATGGACTCATCTTAGGTATCCATTGATACCAACCGTGTTATGCTATCATGTTATAAAGGGGGCCAAATAATTACCCATAGTTGCACTAAATTTTTGCGAGAGAAAAAGGAACATTACCTGTTATAACAAAATGGTGTATTTAAATATTTCTGGGCCCCAAAACAGTCTTGGAATTGCATAAATTGAGGATGACTGGACAACAGAGAGTTGACAGCTATATACGGTACATTATTTCAGTTCTTCAAGATTGAATGAACCCCCTCTACTGATATTTCTTAATGGCTGGCCTGTTTGCAACACCAGTGTAAGCTGGCCAGTGGTTGGTATAGCAACGTCACATTCACTTTGATAAGTCAAAATCACATGTGCACATATATGCTCATTAAAATAGTGACTTTTCTGTCAGTCCATTTTATCTGTGTTTTCTTCCCCTTTTCTGTTATGAGCTGTTCATTGTGTTTTGTACTGTCTGTTGTTTACACAGCTAACTGTTTTCTTCAAAAGGGCAGTTGCCGGTACTGTATTAGCTGTGTTTGACCACTCACCATACACTTACGTCCTTCATGGTTCCTCTTGTGCTTGGAGAGTATCTACTCTGAAATAGGAGCTTTAAAAGTCCCTCAAAATGGCATTCTAAGAACTACGATTGTACTGAGTTCTTGCAGTGTGGATGCAACAAAAGAGGGTTTATAGAACTATGAGAAAGTTTCTCTGCCCCTAAAATGTTTGCTTTAATTATAGTGTCTTAATGCAGGATCCCTTTAAGCTTCATATGTACTGATGTTCTCAAATTCATTCATTCATTTAACTTTTAATATAAATCATATGACGGGCATTTCAGTAAATTAGAAGAATTATTTATCTTGCAGGTAATGCAGTGATTTTAGAAAAGCAGCATTAAAAAAATCAATATTTGTTACGGTGAATACAGTCCCAACAAGGGAACAGTGGAAGCAGCAGCATCCATCTCTATTGTTAGTATTATTGGATCAAACTAACAAATGTCTAAGGTTGTTGCACTGTTTATTGTGGGTCAACTAGGACATCTAAAGAGAATAAATACAACTGTTTCACTGCAGTTTTTATATGATAAGATTTAGGGGTATTAGTGGTAAGGGCTGGCATTATAAATTATTATATTATAAATCATTATTTTGACAGAGCAGGGTTATACAGTATGTTCTGTACAGTGTAAGATTATAGTGTGTGTTTTTTTCTGTAACCCTTTTTCAGTGGACTTTGCAGTGAAATGCTTTTTTATATCTAACCTAATTTTTGGCGGCCCAAGCATACTTCAGTGCTTTGGGGTGAACACTTGCAGACAGGAGGTCACTCGCCTTTTGATGGAGGTTAGAAGTACATCTACCACTGGGACTTTTAGTAGAGATATGGAAAGATGTGTTTGGAATAGATTTCAGAAGAAATGTTAGTTCAGAATCAGTGCCAAGACTTTAAAAGAGGGAAGAAAAGAAGAAAGAAAATTAATTTAAAAATGTACTATCAAGGAGAATTACTCAGTCAAATGTTTCAGCTAATGCCTGCTGTGGCATGGAGATCCATTACATTCATCAAACAAAGTCTAGAGACTTTTTTCATATTTAGGATTTCCATATCTACAACAGTGACTCACCATTTTGTAAGACTGAGAATCCGCCATTACTTCTTGAATGAAACCTCTTAATGAATATTCATATCCATATGTCTTACATATACACATCCACACAAGATGCCAGGCAGCTAACAGGTTTATATCATTGTTCGTGAAAAGTCTTTGGTTTTTGGTGTGTTAGTTGGACAGAACAAGCACATTTGAAGCCGCTTACTTGGATTCTGGGAAACAGTTTTTAACATTTTTGACAGAGTAAAATACACCCACTTTATTAGATACACCTTGCTAGTATCGGGTTGGGCCCCATTTGCCTTAAGAACTGCCTTAACTCTTTGTGGCATAGATTCAACAAGATGCTGGAAACATCCCTCACAGACACTGGTCCATACTGACATGATAACATCAGATAGCTGCGGATTTGTCGGCTGCACATCCCTGATGTGACTGTGGAGGCCATTGGAGTACAGTGAACTCATTGTCTTATTCAAGAAACCAGTTTGAGATGATTTGAGCTTTGTGACATGGTGCGTTATCCTGCTGGAAGTAGCCATCAGAAGATGGGTACACTGTGGTCATAAAGGGATGGACACGGTCAGCAACAATACTCAGGTAGGCTGTGGTGTTTAAACCATGCTCAGTTGGTAGTAAGGGGCCCAAAGTGTGCCAAGAAAATATCCCCCACACCATTACACCACCACCACCACCAGCCTGAACCCTTGATACAAGGCAGGATGGATCCATGCTTTCATGTTGTTTACACCAAATTCTGACCCTACCATCTGAATGTGGCAGCAGAAATCCAGACTCATCAGACCAGGCAACGTTTTTCCAATCTTCTATTGTCCAGTTTTGGTGAGCCCGTGTGAATTGTAGCCTCAGTTTCCTGTTGTTAGCTGACAGGAGTGGCACCTGGTGTGGTCTTCTGCTGCTGTAGCCCATCTGCTTCAAGGTTGGACGTGTTGTTGGTTCAGAGATTGTCTTCTGCAGACCTTGGTTGTAACCAGTGGTTATCTGAGTTACTGTTGCCTTTCTATCATCTTGAACCAGTCTGGCCATTCTCCTCTGACCTCTGGCATCAACAAGGCATTTTCACCCAGAGAACTGCTGCTCACTGGATATTTTCTCTTTGTTGGACCATCCTCTGTAAACCCTAGAGATGGTTGTGTGTGAAAATCCCAGTAGAGACACTGAGTTGCTGCCATGTGATTGGCTGATTAACTATTTGCATAATGAGCAGTTATCCAGGTGTTCCTAATAAAGTGGCAGATGAGTGTATGTATCCTATTCAATCAGCTGAAAAACAACCAACAAATTAATGATCACAAAAACTGTCAGTTGCAGCCCTAGATATCTGTATCATGTCTTGCAGCAATCATGGCTCGATAAGAACCATTTTCTAAGCAGCACCTCATTATAGTCAGTCTTTGTAATTGTTGAGGTGGATACAGCAAAAGAAACTGCTGTCTTTTGATGTACAGACATTTTTCCACAGCGGGGAAAGACAAAACTTCCTGACACACAAAGACATCAAATATCTTTCTTAATTTTTGGTGATACAGTACGGCACTTCAAAGTAAAATTGTTCAAAATGGCAGTTAATGTTACTTTTTTACTGTCATCTTCTTTCAGAACAAACTATACCACAATAGCCTGCCTGCAGATCTGACAAAACTGAATCACTGCCTACATCTTCATTTTTTTGTGTGTGATTTAAATAGAAAGAAAATTACATTTCAGTCTGATTATTAGGATAATCCTATGTTGCCTTGAAAAGACTGGCATTCAATAGAAAATTAAAAGGGGGCGACACAGCAGCCTCATTGTTTTACGACTGAAATAAAACTCCATTCAAATGCTCCATTCTTATTGATTTTCTTTGCTTGTGAGCCTAAACTGCAACAACCAGGGAAACAAGCAGCACTCAAGAAGTTAACACGTTCTCTGACCTCCTGACCACCACTTTACAAAAGGTATAGATTACCACTGAACAGCATCACAGATCATTTTCATTAGCTTCCCAATTTGTAGGAGGTTCATTGGTCAGTTTTAGGTTAATTTGCCTGGTTTACATCAAGGGAAAATCCATGCCTCTCAGTAATGAGTTCTCTCTCATCTACATGATCTGTCAACAAACGGCTTAAGATTCTTCCTTGTCTTGCCAGGACTAGCTTTGTTGCCTCCAGTTTCCAGTCTTGTGAATGGAAGGTGAAGACAAAACTGTATATGGTGTTGAATTTCTATGTTAGACCTATTGAATAAATTAAAAAAAAACAAAAACATTTAGCTAACAAAATAAAGCGCATTAACATGTCAACATAGTCTACAATAAATCAAATGCATTATGCCAAAAATGGATGTTCTACTATATCCGGTCCGATTTTGCAGTATGCAAGCCAGCATGTTATTCTGGCTATTCTGACCCACAATCCTCTGCACAGCTGACCATGCATCGCATCGAGTAAGCTATGACAGCTCGACAGCTCAATGACAACTGATTGACAGCTGTCAGAAGTTACAGTGATGGATGACAGTGCATTTAAAGCTACTCTTACCTTTCTTGCATTTCACACAGCACTTGTGATTTGAACATCCACAACTCCAAAGGCCTACACCCCCTTCAGACAGTCAAATGCAACCCTGGAGTTTTAAAACTCAACCAGAGTCAGTGATGACTGCTAACGTTAGATAGTAGCATTAACGTTACTAGTAAGTGGAAATACACAAGGAAGATAACGTTAATGTTTCAGAGGCTACGCTACAGTAGGCTAATGTTAGTTGTTAGCAACTGGATGCTGTGTTGTCATATATAACGTTCTAGCCTATGTTACATTAGAGGCAAACTAAAAATACCTGTCCAGGAGAAACTCTGTTACCACCTTGTCCCTTTTTAGCTCAGGATGAAGCTGCATTACACGAGCGGATACGTCAGTCGGAGGCCTCTACTTGGGAAAGACAGACAGGACGCTCGGCCAATCATTGCATTCGATCCGAACAATAAAAGGACGTAACTGTGAAAATAACAACCACAGAGAGCTGCACAAATATAATATATTAGAATCCACAGTCTGTGCAGTTATAACTTTAAAGTTAAACTACACACATTGCAAAGTAACAACAGCAGAGCTGTCTGGGTTGAATTCCGTCCCTGGCGAACTCAGTAAGTGGTGTTTGTTTTATTTCCAAGGTAACGGATATAAAAGCAAGAGGGTCAAAGTTCAGGGTGTAATGTAATGAGAAAGTAGTATGTCCCGATTGTGTGCATACTGCATACTCAAGAAAAGGTATGCAATGCGGAACGCACCCTAAATTTTCCTTTTCTATAGACAACACCTTGCAGTCTGTGCATATAACAGCTGCTTCCTCAGCGTCTAAATTAACAAGGAAAGAGGACAAAACTCAGACAGTTAAACAGAAAATGACAGACAGTAAATAAAAAAGTACTGTGGACACTGTGACGGTTGCATCAAACAATATTAAAATTAAATACTCTGATGTTTCTTGCAGGATTAACAGCAGAATAAAACATCACCAAGGCACACAAGGCAGACATGTATAAACAAAATATTAGACTAGACAAACTAAACAGTCTGACACTTTTACAGAATTAACAGCTCCTTGCTCCTGGCCACAGGCAAATGCATGCATTCAATTAAGGTGGACCTACATTACTACAATTCAATTACAAGAGGTAAATGAGAAATAGCAGCATGTAATTTGTGTAATTTATGGTTTTAGTATTGTTGTTCAAAGTAATACATGGCTCATCTGTCAAAGTAAATGCTTTAATCCTTCTGTACGTGTCTACACACAAAATGCATCCCCTCTCTGTAATGCACAAATTATGCCCTGCTATCAGGTATTATAATTTGTATGTACTTCACATTCTGCCCAATTTCCATGGTGGATATAAAGTCTCTTCTTTCCTAGCAAAAATTATAGGAGGATAGAAATTCTTTCAGACTACATTTTTAACCTGCTTCAAAATGTATTCCCTCTCCGTCATGGTCAGATGATGCGTTGCTATCAAGGTGTTTTGATAATGTTGTATACATTTGAGAACATGCCTAATAGTCTTGGTGAATATGGAGAAGTTTCTTAGTTACAGGGTATACACATGCTTTCAGATGGCGCTTTAAGTCTGCCACAAAATGGATCCCCACTCCATAGTGCAGTATTTATCTTGTATGCACTTCACATCATGCCTAATATCCTTGGTGAATATGGAGACGTTTCTTCTTTCTAAGAAAATCTTATAAGGGAATACAACTTCTTTCAGACTGCATTTTTTGGTCTGGCATAAATGCACAATATCGCCCTGCTATCAAGTATTTTAGTTTGGATGCACTTCTCATCTGGCCTTATGATTGCTTTGGTTTTTCAGTAGACTTCCTCATTTTAGTGCAATGAATACTACAACGTTTGATAACACGTACAGAATAATAAAAGCATTTATTTTGCTTGATACATGAGTCATGTGACACTTTGCAAAACCCCGTTGATAAAAACAACAACACTTGTCTCTGCTGTCTGCTTTTACACTCCACTGTGAGGAGGAATAAAAGGTAATATGAAAATGAAGAGTGCATGAAAATGGAGGAGTAAATTTAAAAAAGGAGTGATGAAGTTAGAGAGAGATTAATAGCAACATTATTATGATAATGTGAAAGTTAGAGATTGCTCTTTGATTCAGAGGGATCTGCTCTGAAGCTGCCCTTATTGGTACAGTCATGGGCTGGCTTGGCTTGGCTGTCCCTCTCTCACACACACACACACACACACACACACACACACACACACACACACAGTCTGTATTCTTGCTGAGGACTTGGATAACGAAGGTAAAGAGTAATTTCCCGTCTTGCCCTGTCAGGAGGGAGATGGCCGATAACATCAGTGGACTAGGCCAACATGATTCCTTCTACCGGAGCTCAGATAACCGTCCCCACCTCCCATCTCGCGCTATATTCATTTGCAAGCACATCTTCACGGGCCACCGCATTTTGTTCTCAGTTATGATTGCAGATATTACGTGAACATCAACAAACATGTTTTTGTTACTTTTTTTTATTACTGGTCCAAGGCTCTATTCTGAGCACAGAGCGGCAATAACTTTTCATTCATCAAAAAGAAAAGATAGCCTGTGTGTTTACTTGCTCTTTAAATAATCTGTTTTGTTTCCCTGCAGGAATATCAGTGAGCATCTCCACATTTAGCCTGGTTGCCATAGCGATCGAGCGCTACAGCGCCATCTGTAATCCCCTGAAGTCACGGGTGTGGCAGACCCGATCCCATGCCTATCGGGTGATTGCTGCGACGTGGGTGCTGGCCTTCATCATCATGATCCCCTATCCAATCATCAGTCACCTGGAGTCTTTTCAGCGTCCTGACAACACCACTGCCCACCAGTGTCGCCACAAGTGGCCCGTCGCAACGGCAGAGCAGGCCTGGTGAGTGTTTGTTGGTCCCAATTATTTAAAGGTAAACTATGCAGGAACTGTCTGTTTCTGTATGCCCCCTCCTTGCTACACTGCTTGTACACACACTGTAAACCACTGTACTATTGAAGAATGTCACCTTTCTGTAACAGAAAAGCCGATACCTTAGCAAGCTGGGTCCATGTCATTGGTTCGACAGCCCACTGGTTCGACATCCCATTAGTCCGACTGTCCGCGGTGCTGAACGGCTCGCGGCGGGCGTATGATGCGCCGCGACCGGCTTGAGGCGGAGCAGGCTCACGGCTTATGTGTTTGTCACTTTCTTTTTCATTTTAACCCACACCATGATCTTTTCCTGACCCTAACCAAGTGGTTTTTGTGCCTAAACCTAACCAGACCTTAACCACAGGGCATCATGATGATTTCGGAACGGACTTCAGAACAATGAGTTTAATATGGTCACAACAATGGGATGTCGAACCAATGGGCAGTTCCCAGCAAGCTAACTATCACCAGTACCTCCCTGTCCAACAGAAAACAGGCCAACTCTGTGCTGTTCTTCATCCCTTTCCACCCCAGAGTCACTTTTGTTTGGGAACAAGCTCTGTCCGCTTGGCATTTCGCCATATTTGTGTTGTTCTGCACTGCGTCTGCCATTTTTGTAGCCTCTTCCTCTTGAATGCCTGCTGACAGAGGTCAGGGGTCTCTGCAGATACACCGCCACACATCTTGAGTGGATTACATTTGATGATTGAGAGGGATTCCTGATATGAAACTATACATAGTGTTAAAGAAAATCCTGCATAGTATAGGCTACCTTTAGCACAATTTTGGTCGAAATGATTGTTTACCTGCAACCATGTGAAAAGAAATCTTCTAAGTTTCTCAGTATAATCAGTAAATGTTGCAGCAATTTCTTTTTCTCATTATAAAAGGAAGTGAAAAAGAAGAATTTCTATGAAACTTTTGCTGAACAGCAGCTGCTGTGGCCACAAGTGGTGATTACAGGATAATGACACATTCAGTTTCAGTATTTCCCAAGGTTGTCTTGAGTCAGTTGATTTAAAGTCCCCGGTTCCACCAGGATTATGTAAATTAATGCCAATCCCTTGTGAATTCTACATGATCTTGCACTTTTGTTCAATTACTACATCTTTACCGCAAATTTGACTATTTTAAGTGATTAAAATCTAATTTCACTGCAGAGCTGCATGCAGCGTATTGATTCTCTCAGAGCATCTCCCTCTCTGTTTATCCAACACATTCCCACTCTGACCTCATCATATATCAATGTTTGGTCATGGAGTTTCACGTGGAGATCTGGCGTGCAAGGTACCCAGGGTGTGTTGGTGGTTGACGTTCTGGGACACCGTGTCAGCTTCAGCTCTCTTACATGCATTGTCTGTTTTCAAAATACACTTCTATTTTAACAGGAAATTTACAGTTTGTCTACAGCCTCTTTCAAAATAAACGCACTACATCGGTACAACGCCGCGAATTGATGTTTTTGTCATTTAACGCATGGGGTTGGGTTAAGAACAAAAAGAACAGGGTTTGACTTTACATTCAAATGGGAAGTGAACACCGGTCTCCGGGGTGAATGTTGGTGGCTGTTGAACTCATCCAGTACCCCTCCCACCCACCCTACTTAGACTTTTCTCCCCCCTTAACCTTTGCTGTTGTCCCACTGTGTTGGGGGCAATTAAACAATACCAGTGACAGGCTGCATATCATGCCAGCATGAAAGAACGGCTGGTTTCCAAGAGCTTCAGAGGGAGACCAGGTGGCTTTATCATGAGATTACTTCAGTGGGGCTGGGGCTCTGTGCCTGGGACAGAGTCGCATACACAGTAACAGGGCTAACTGTTAGCATCACATTAACACTGCCCAACAGTAATTAACAAGTCGAGCTGTTTTGGTGTCGGTGTTAGAATAACAGCTTGGTGTTGGATGCTAACACCTACTTTAGGGCTTCTGCCCTGCGGCAAAAATGATGACTAGGAATGAGATCACGCTGTGATGTATAAGCTCGTTCTGGGCAGAGAGAGTCAGGAGGAGAGCTTCTCACGAAACCAGTGTGTCAGTGTTGCGTTGAACGGCATCAACAGCATCATGCTTGCCCCAACATGCATCGCAATTTACTTTTAGAAAAGCTGCCATGAACTCAGACAAAATCCCTACAGTACATATCACATTTATCTGACGTGCTTAAATGTAGCGCAACAGGAGCACAAGTACAAAAGAGCTGTAAAGTCAGTAAATACACTCATTAATGTCAGTCACACAGCATCCATCTGAGGTTTGCTTTCGTCAGCATTAGCCATCATTTGCTACAGGTTATATCAGACCAAATAAAGCTATAAAGCAACAAAGACCTTGTGAAGAATTGACAAACGGTACATTTTATTACACAGCTTCAGTCATTTTTTCCTCTAAAACTTGCATCGTCTCATTTAATATTTATATCATATTCATATTTTTTAGTTTTAACAAGGAAGTACTTCTAATATATCCTGATTTTATATCAAAGTGATGAGAAGAAAAAGATGCATTGAGAAAACACAGTAGTCCATACATATAAATTAAAGATGGCTCATTTGGATAGTGTAATTTAGTTTTATCTTCGGCTTTCAAGTAAGATATGGTGAGATTTGCATAACAGAGGATAGAATATCTTATGTATGCATACACTACATTAAAAATTTAGATGTTTGGGGCTACACAGAGGGGAAAAATTAGTCTATGGTTGAATCATTTGTCATCGATCCACTGGGAGGACAAATACAGCTGCATGTATAGACAGTCCTACTCACAGATAGATAGGTAGACACAATTGATTATGAACAGGGGAAGTGGAGAAATAGTTTTGGTTAATGCCAACATCAAGGTGCACATCTCACTGACAGATTAAAAAGCACAAAATCAGTACAAGAACAAATAGAGATCAACGAGAACGTCCAAACCACAGACACAAACATGCAGTTTCTTCAGTGTCCGTACACCACAGTGTCTTTTCTTTGTCCTAAACTGGATCTTTTTCTCATCATAACATCCGTGTTTCCTTTTACAATGACACACCAATGAATCTTCTGATAACAAGAAAAGGGTCAGTTCAAACAAGTTCACCGAAAAGTTGGATACTTGGTAATTTTCTTCACGGAGAAGTTTGGTGTGTTGTAAATCTGACTGGAGATATTTTCTGTTTCCCTGAGCATTGCCAGTTACATTCCCAGAGTAACACAACAGCACATAAAATGCAATTTAACATAAAATTTAGACTCCGATCATCCATCTTCCTCGCCATCTGGACAATGTGCTGTTTTGTATCAAATAAACTTCAGATGACCTGTGTCTGGGACGAATGTGTGTGTGTGTGTGTGTGTGTATGTGTGTACTTTCAGCAAGGCACGCTACACTGAAGCATCTCATTTGCCTCCATGTTTGAACCGGGAGCCTGTTTGCAGCAGTTCTCACTATCTGTCTTTTGGGTGTTTTTTGTGGAGACATTAGTGCAGATGAAGAGAACAGACGGATGTGCTCTTTGTTTTTGTTTTGGACCAAGAAGGAACAGGCTTTGGGGTAATTTCAGTCATCTCAGTGAAGATCTGTGTATATGTGTGTACAGCTGAAAATTATGTTTTTGTACGTGTGTGTATTTTAGTACTTTTGTGTTTGATTCTATGTCTTTATCTGACTGCAGGTTTCCTTATGGGTGTGTGAATTTGTGCATTGGTGCGAGAACCAGTTTGTGTCTCCGGTGTAGTATATACACATATTATGATTACAATACAATTCTGATGCACAGAGAAAATCATATTTGAGAAAGAGAGAAAAAAGTAGTCTTTCAACATTTATGGTTATGAAGGTATTCCCAAAATCTGTGAAGACTTACCATCTGGATGAAAGAAAGCTTTGTCTGCTGCACAATTAAAAAGAGAAACAGAGATAAAAATCCCCATCCAGGTTGTAGTTTGTGGTCGACGTCTTAACACGAGTGAAAAATACAAAATTATTTCACACAATGCAATAAAAATATAAATGTATTATTTGTATGGAAATAAAAAAACATATCTCATTCCTTGCTACCATTTTTGTTATTAATTAGGAAGGACTAGCCACTTGGGAAACCTGCCAAAAACCTCTTTTTATCATGCAAAAGACGGGGTGTTCTTTTCATCAAGACAGTTTAACTAGTGTCTGAGGATTTTGGAAATATCCTCAGAACAACAGTAAATTTTGCTGAACAACATTCTGCAGGTTTTTATTTTTCCGAGAAAAAAACAAGAAGTAGTAATACATTACTACTGGACATGAGAGATACAAACTGGGGCTACATACGTGCCTGAATGTATGGACATTGGGATCTTTATCTCTCTCGTGTGTCTCTTGCAGGTACATTATGCTGCTGCTCGTGCTGTTCGCCATCCCAGGCTTGGTGATGATTGTAGCCTACGGACTGATCTCCAGGGAACTTTACAGAGGCATCCAGTTTGAGATGGGCCACAAAAAAGACTCTACTGGTGAGGCAATTTGTACTACATGCAGGAACCATAAAGAACACAGTAGATAGAGCTTTAATTAGTGTTCCAGAGGACAATTTGGCTCACAGACAGCAGTCGATGAATAATAAAATATGCAAAAAGACAGCTAAGTACATGCTAGGATTCCAGAGGCATGACCTTAGACAGATGCTTAATTTAGATTTATGCCAGTGAATTTACATGCATACATTTTCGTTTTTCCAGAAGGTTGTTACCTAACTTACAAAAAAAAGTGTCATGTTTGAAGTTTAAAACACTCCATTGTATTCTCACTTATTTTATTATCTTTCATAAAAATTAAAATGGCACAAATCTTACATTCTTCCTGATTCTTACTTATTTAAAATTAAAAGAAAAAATCTTAAAATAAATACAGCTATCAGAATCAGAATCAGCTTTATTTATTTAGCTATTTTATTAATGTACCAGAATTGACATAAGTACTCAAATCTAATAAGTGGAATATACAGAATATACAATATACAAAAAATATACAACTATACATCAAATATAAAAAAATATACAATATACAAGGATGCAAGTGTTGTTTGTCCTGCCACTCTGTGACTGTTAGGAGTTCATCAGAGCGACAGCCTGGGGGAAGGAACTGTCTTTGTGACTGATGGTTTTGGCAAACAGTGCTCTGTGGCACCTACTGTAGGGGAGGAGTTAAACAGATTGTGCCCGGGGTGTGAGGAGTCTGCATTGATGTTTCCTGCCCGTTTCCTGACCCTTGACATGTACAGGTCCTCAATGGAGGGAAGATCAGTACCAATAATCCTCTCTGCACACCTGATTGTCCTTTTCAGTCTGTTACTGTCAAGTTTGGTGGCAGATCCAAACCAGATGGTGATGGATGTGCAGAGAACAGACTGGATTATGGCTGTGTAGAGCATGATCAGCAGTTCCTGAGGCAAGTTGAGATTCCTGAGCTGTCGCAAGAAGTACAGCCTCTGCTGGGCCTTTTTCCAGTATCGAGAAACCTGAAGGTGTCCACAGTAGACACTGTGCATCATCAATGTTACCTTGAATAGGGATGAAAAAATTCAATAGTGCAGCTCCTCTAGACTCTACAAATGTTGAACGATGGTATATCTTGTGGGGGTTCTGACACAAACAATTTATTCAATTGAATTTTAATGATTTTGTTTAATTTACAGCCACAACAGTAGCAATGGAGTAGGCTACAGTAGAGCCTAGCCCAGTCACAGTACATGCATGCAGCACACTGACATACCAGGCCCCAAAGTAACAGCACCACACTTTGGAACCAGTGGTATTACAACTTCTGTCACGTCACTTGACTTACAATGGGAAAGGGACATCTGTAAATTTGCAGATATCTATTTTTATTTTTAGGTACATTGACTTCCCAGTATGAGCACTTAAATAGCTCAATTTAAATCATCAAGTCTTTGTTGTAACATTCACTAATAGCAGAATCCACGGTTATTTTCCTACTGTCATTCATGTGAGTGAGCCTGACAATGTGGTTTGGAGCCAGAGTTAAAGGACACAGTAGTGCGCTTGCTCTATGGGCCCTGTAATGAGGAGGATCTTGATGAATTTATGCCTGGAAGTCAAACTTTCTTCACTTCAGGCACCACTGAGCAACTTGGAATGAACAAGGCCCTGCCTCCAATGCTGTACCCGAACTTTGGTCTTTTTGGGCCCCATGGCATCACGTGACAACACCCAGAAGTTGTAATTATGCTGTTTGGCCACCCATATCACATTGGCTTCAAAGCCTGGCGCTGTCTCTGTGTGTTTGACCCTGAATAACAAGCACACAGAGAGGGCCAGACGGCTGGTAAAAACGTTACGGATCGTTTGACGGCCCATCAGCCCACTGATGCTGAGGCCAACAAATATTGTCCCAGCATGCAACATGGCCAGTACACCAATGGATCCTAGTACAAGTAAGAAGTGACTCAATAAAAAAGAAGTATAAGACATATGAACATTTTAACTTATGAGCTGAGAAAATAAGATGTGAACTTAACTGTACCTATGAATACTATTACATTTGATTATTCTATGCCTTTATGCATATCCAGAGGGGAGTTTAGTTGTGCATGCAGAGTAACAAATAAAAGAGTAGCAAATCAGACATGTTATAGCAGACAACATACTGTATGAAAGATACTGCCACAACAGCAGCAGTACGACTAACACACATACTAACACATGTTCCAAGAGGGCATTAACGTTGCTCAGCAGCCTGTCACTAATTAAAAGAAGTCATCTGATTGTTGAGTCAAACTGTGTCTCTCAATAAATGTCATCGCGCTATCAGGGACCTACCAACCTGACTTTAATGTTAGCATTTACATTTTTTTTTCTAATTCATGTGAATGATGAGGAATTTAATTTTTAATCACCACGGTTTCATTAGCAACACAATCACTGTAATGTGTGCGGGTTAAGTGGAACATAACCTTTTGTGGTCCTGTGAGTGTGTGTCTGGGATGATAGCAGTGTTGAGTGTATTTGCAGGGGCTTCCATTAGAGGATAGAATTGGCTGGCAGCTGCGGGCCTGGACATCACCATCTGCTTGGCCTCAGAGAGATAGAGGATGTCAAAAATAAAAACAAAGTTTGAGAGACAAAGAGCATGCGGTTAAAAAAACAGGGATAAAGGGCAAAGAACTTCTAAAATAACCGTTTGGAAAATGTGTTTGATTTAATAATCCAGAAGTGGTTAACTACTTTACCAGTTCCTGTTTGTATTTGCTTGCTTCAGGGCTCTTATTATTGTGTTCAGTGTACTTAGTCCTTTGAAGAGGGAAAGATGGACTATTAAATTTTGTCAATAGATTGCAATATCCCCTGATGGATGATTACTGTGGCTCAGCAAGAATTGTTAGTCATTCTTCTTTCCATTAAGGTGAGCTGCTGCTCTTTAAAGAGCTATGATTCACTCCAGAGAAACCTCACAGATGGGTGCATGTAATATCGCAGAGCTGTGGTGCTTTGGCTCAGTTGTTGATTTACCTGGTTATTTTTTGAAATCTTTTTTTAAGCCAGTGGCTTTTAAGCCAATATCAGTCAAATAGATCAAACTACAAGAAGTGAATTTCATAGGAAAAAAATAGGAGCCAGTGAGTCAGGCAGGCACTGAAGTCATTTCATAGTCACGTGTTCGACATACAGTAGGCTACTGTACCATCCAGTCATACATGTCCAGTCTTATCTCTAACACTAAGCTTTTCACATAAACATTCTGAACACAGACTTTTAGATCCCTTTTGCTACAAAACTGCCTGCCAATTGTACTTTATGTGAATGTTTCTGTCAGGCGCATTGGTGCCAGGCAATAGGGAAGGGCACACAAACCAGGTTGACAAGAACAGTTCAGTAATTTATTGAAGAAGTGAAGATACATAAGCCCGCAGGCAGGCAGGTACTGGTTTGTTGGCCCAGGCATGAAGCAACATTGACAATCTTCCATGGAATGAGTGGAGAAGGGCCAGTTGTATTCTGCTAGGCTGATGAGGCAAAACGGGAAGCAGGTGAGAATGTGGGCGGGGAGGGTCAGGTGAAGGGATCTTTCCCAGATGCTGGGGTTACTGCGGGAAAGGAGAGAGTGGTTGGATCTGGGAGTGTGAGACTGAGACAGGTGGAAATGTCTGAGGACATCTGGTAGACTGGTGGAGAATGGCAAGTATGGATAGTTCGATGAAATGCATGGGCCTGGGGGATGTGCAAAGTGGCTGGGGAATACTAATTCAGTCAGGACCACTTTAGTTAAAGAAAACTTTACTTTCATTTGCAGTATTATATTTGGCTGTACAGTACAGTATATAGAAAGCCTCTTCCACATGTGTGTGGAAAGCCTCAAGGCAGAGAGCACACTTCTCTGCCCTTCCATGCGCCTACATGGAAAGCCTAAGGCAGGGAGACAGCAAAGACTCCCTGGGACCAGGTCAGAGCAACATCAATGACAAACAGAAATGACATTAATAAGTCCGATACAACATGAAAAGGAGGAGCTAGGGTGGAGGCAGGTTGCAAAGCAGCTTGAAGAGGAAGCAGCAACAGTAGGCAGGCCAGAGCAGTTTAAGTAAGGCGCCCTGAATGAGATTCGCCCAATTGGTTGCATAAAGATTCGCTGATGTAGCTAGGATGTTAGCTGAGCTTGATATTGTGTCCTACCTGAACTAACATTTAATGTTTAATTATTAGTACATACTTCTTTAGTATAAGTAGTACCAGTTGTACTAGGCTATCCTCTTCAAATACTGATTAATTCTGCAGTTTAAACATGAACAGTTCTTGTTGTCTTTTAAGATTTAAAACGTGAGAAACGTGTTAATGTGGCCACAATGTGATCTGGTGTGATAATGATGCATTATTGTTGTTATTAACCACATTGACACTAGTACATTAATATTCAAATCAAGGACTAATTTTAGAAATATCTACACTTTCGGTATTGGGTATGGAGAGTATATCTGGGAGTATCCCCTGCTGCAGTCCCGTCTCCCCTCTCTGTCTCAAGCCCCTCCCACCAGACGAGCATTGACATATGCACATGCTTCATACAGTAACCCAGTGTTTCCCAATCTTACTATTTAAAATGGGTAAAATCTTATCTCATTGTCGAGTTGCATGCAGCCCCTCCTTGCCCCAATCTGGCTCTCTCTGTTTATCAAACCACAACAGACGTCTTCACAGCAGGCAGCAGCTCTGGAGACGGACCTTCAGTCAGCAGCTGTAACAACTACAATTCAGCCAACGTAAACCCCAGAGTCGGGGATCACAGCAGTCTCTGGCCAGCTGTGTCATGACTCTGAAAGTTTGCTGATCCAACAGGGAGGGGCAGGCAGTCTAGGATCAGACCCCCTGCACTGGGGTTTGTGCTGGATGAATTCAAGTTGCTGAAGGTCCGTGCCTATAAAGCCCTTTGAGATGACATGCTGGGATTTGAGTCTCCAGCAAAAGTTAGCTACATTAACATGAACTTGAATTAGTCACAGCCATGAGCCCCAATTAGCAGAATGCTAAACTGTTAGCAACATTCTCTCTCCATCTCTGAAACACCTCACCAAAAACGTGTTTTATCTAGTTTGTTGTCAGACTCTCCTCTAGACTCTCTTTTTGGTAGTTCCATCTTCCTTTTTTTGGATGCTTTGCAGTGTAGGTAGGTGTTGCCAAGGCTGGAATGGCAACTTTTTCTGTAATACTTTTTCCACCATTGAATCAGGCTTTAATCAGGCTTTAAGCCCTCTCTCTGAAATGACCTGTGAGTGGCCAAAGTTTCACATCACGGGCTTAATTTCCTGATAACAGAGCCAAGAGGAGGTGTAGAAGTCTGGTTTTCTCTCAGAGAACTTTTATTGCAATATGATGAAAGGTTGTTGTGGCATTTTTGTCCAATGATGCAAAGAAACAAGAAACAAAAACGGCCTACCTCAGCTTTAACAGTGCCTACAATGTGCAGGGAAAGCATTAAGTGTCACAAAATGAAAGCGTTACTCACACATCAGGGGATGAAGTTTTAATTACATATAACTGACAGAAGTATTCCTCCCTTTTAAACCATACAGATGTGAAGAATGGACTCACCTCCACTGTGTTGACTGGCAGTGATGATGGAGATGGTTGCTATGTGAACGTCGTCCAGCGGCCACACTCGATGGAGATGTCCACCATGTCCTCATCCAACAGAGCCATCAAGGCGGAAAGACCACGCAGCAACACATCTGAGGCTAAGCTGGAGGCCAAGAAGCGAGTTATCCGCATGCTGGTGGTCATTGTTGTCCTGTTCTTTCTCTGCTGGATGCCACTGTACTGTGCCAACACCTGGCGAGCTTTCGATGACATCTCTGCCAAACAAGCCCTCTCGGGGGCACCCATTGCTTTTATCCATTTGTTGTGCTACACCTCTGCCTGCGTCAACCCAATTATTTACTGCTTCATGAACACACGCTTCCGCAAAGCTCTGCTAGCCACGTTCTCGTGCTGCGCTGCCCCTTGCCACCGTCGCCATCCTCGCCGTGGGCTACGGGACAACGAGGAGGATGTTATGGCAACGGGAGCATCCATGTCCAAGTTCAGTTACACTACAGTCAGCACCATGGGAACCTGCTGAGGCAGATGGATGCAGGCACAATCTAGAAGAGACAGTTACTACGGCAACACAGCACCCCACATCCTTTGTCTTTAGGCCAATGCTGTACTCATAGGGACAGTGATGTGGAGTGGAAAATCAGGCCATATAGTGTAGCAGCATAGAAGCTTCACCCATGACTGTGAGTAAAGTTACGTAGGGATCATTTATGGAAACACAGTCTTACAGTGTAAATACCTCCATACAGTAGCTATATTAAAAACAGCACAAAAAATTATAGTTATTTCTTGTCACAGTGGACCAAGGCAAATCGTTTGCTTAGATGTTTACGGTGGGGTGTGTGTGAGTGTGTGTGCGTGAGTGTGTGGTGGTGGTGGGCTGTATGATAACTTCATCACGTAGCTATAAAAACAGGAAGATCGTTTGCTATGTAATTTTTAAATTGTGTTTTATATTTTGCTGTCAGTTGTTCATCCATGTTAACGATGGTGAAGCAATTGCCTTGTGGACTAAGTGCCTGGTTCTAAATACTAGTGTGTTATATTTGTCTGCTGTTGATTTGCCTCATTCATCACAGGCACCATAATCACAGGCAAATTGTAACCTGAGGGGTTGTGGAAGTGGAGTTTACAGACTTAAAATATGTTCCAAACAAACTGAAAATCCTCCTCAGAAGATAAGAATTTCCTCCAGACGGGACCTGATAAATGAGTCTGAAGCAGGAAACGTGCTATAAACAGCTTAGATGGGCAGTGGTGATGCCTTGTGTTGTGGTTGTACACTAGCCAACTTTGTGTTTTTGAGTTTGTAGAGGCAGATTTTCTGTGTGTGCTGCAGTGTTTGTTTGTGTTGTGTCCTCATAGGTGAACACAGTAGCAAATGTTAACAGGGTGACTTGAAGGGTTGTGTTTCTTTCTAGTATCAGGACTCTTGTTTGAGGGCAGTACACAATTCGCTGGAGAACATCTGAGATGGAAGTTGGGATACTTCAGAGACTACTTCACTATCAAAAGACCACTCCATATGTACGGTATAAAAGTAGTTTTATTTGGGATGATGAGAGGATTAGGGAAAGATGAGGTGAGGATCGAGTTTGATGGTGTGATGATGTTAAGGGAAGGGTTGAAAACAGGGTAGATGGACTGGTCCTGAAGGTCGGTAGGGGTCATGTATGATGGGGTGATTGTGGTCAAGAGGGATGAACAGGGTTTAACAGAGTTGTGATGAGGCTGGAGCATATTAAACTGTATTAAATAATGGACGTAGCCACCATGACATCACCCATTGGTTTCTGGACTCCCATTTTTAAGGCTCAAATTTAGCATTTTGGCCTTTGCTATCTTGATGTTTTGGAGCCACATTTTGATGAGAGGCTGGAGCTGGGGAGGAGCAAAGGGTGGATCTGACTGAGGAGCTGAAGACACTGTTGGCGTCCCGCCCTTAATTATGCTTAACTTTAAGCCTTAATATCACTTAAAGGGATGAGTTATATGAAAACTCCCCCCTGTGCAGTTGTCATGAAGGGGAAATAGCTAAACAGGCCCAAACTGTTTTTTGTGCCAGGCTATAAACATTTTTATTTAAGCTGTAAAGTTGGGCATATTAACATGAGCGTCAATTGGGACTGACTGGCTTCTGGAGCCAGCCTCAAGAACTGCAGTTTTTAGCACTTTCATGTTGGCTTCATTTTTCAGCCCCGGAGGTTGTTGCTTGGTTGAGTCTCAGGATGGGGACACGTCCTTTCTGACCTTCGCCATGCCCTTGGGGGTTCATATCTGGGACCTTCTTTTTGTTAGTAACGATGCTAGCGGCTGAGCAGGAAGAGAAGAGGAGAACAGGGTTTGGGGGAAGGAAGGTCATGAGATCTGACAAAAACAGTAGAGAAAGGGATAGCCACACCTGAGACCAGGTTTAAACAGAATTAATGGGCACAGGTGGGAGAGAGACGCATGCTCTTGTCACATTAGAAAAACTCCCCTTAAAAAGAGGGTGCTCTATATTTCTATAGATACAAGGACTTTGATGAAGTCGCCAGAGGTAATCTTATATCTTGAAAAAAAAAAAAAAAAAACTTCACTGCAGCCTCACAGTATGTTTTATGGAGGCAGCAAGAGGATTCAGTAACTACAGTGAATACAAATATGTTCAGTGATAGTTCAGTGACTTGCAGTTCCTGTTGAGCTCACCTGCAGGCTACAAAATGGCAGCCAGGTTTCAGAGGTCTGTGTTTGTCAGGCCCTGTCTAGCACTCTTGACTCTGGCTCTCCTGCGCACCTCGCACTAATTGCATTACAACCTCAAACCTGCCAGGCTGAACAGATGAGCATATTTCACTGAGTGCACCAAAGCACAATGCTGTCAGCCTCTCAACTAATAGATGTATGGACTTGCTTTTGTGAGCTTTTTTTTTTTTTTTTTTTTTGGAGGAGGAGGATTTTAGATTGGCCTGCAACTTTTGTGGTTTATTGTGTGCACCGTTCCCTTTGTGTTTAAAATATAAATCATAGTGAAGCCTTTCTATGAGACTAAAACAGTGTAAGAGGGGGGAATTTTATCAGCTGTAACCTCTGTGTTATGCAAAGTACAGCAAATGACAACCTTGTCGACAAGCCTAGACGATAAAATCGTACACTTACATGCTAACAAATTAATATCTGCAGCTCCTGTTCCTATGTCATTAAAATGAGACAACCGTATATTCTTTCCGCTTCATGTCAAGTGTACGAAGGAAGGCAAAGTGACAGCAGAACATTGCCTTCACCTTCCCCTTAGCTCACTGTGCAAACTCAGCCCCCATCATGTTCGAAGCACAAGAGGCACACATTCATCTAGCTGATGATTGTCTCTGGGCTTCATGACCCACTGCTGATTACCATTGGGCACTGGGCCTTTGTATATATGGCTCTGGTTTTAAATGCGCACATACAATGATGCCATAGTGAGATCATGTGTGTCCTCAAATTGAAATGCCCGTCTGGTCTCGAAATCTTGCTGTCAAGCCTTGGAAAAGCAGACATTTTGTATGGTGAATAAAGTTCTCCCGCAGTAAAAACAGCCAGAGGGATTTATGTGTCTGCTAGAAGCATTTCCCACATAGAGAAATACTGTAACGCTGCTGTCTGTGTTGTTGTTTATGAGAGACGCTTGGAAAGCTTATTTTTTTTTCATAGAGAGTGAGGCTGTGAGAGGCTGATTTCCCTGTGGTGTCATAGAGGCCGTTTGACGTTATGACTTGCTCCCCAATCTACTGCATCTCATCCAGTCGACACACACACACACACACACACACACACACACATACACAGACTGCCCCTGTTTAAACTAGTTATTATGTACTTGCTCACAACCAATTACAGACATGCCAATAATTAGTTATTTTCCTCTTTGACCAAATTAATACTAGCCATTAAATTAAAGCTCAGTGTAAAAATAACTGTGATGACTAATATGCAGTGGGTAGTGATTGTATCACTAATTACCACATTCCAAATTATGTATAAATGTCAATGTGAACAGAGGTACTAAAGGTTACTTTAAATGCCACCCTCAGTCCTCTTTTTTAAATTTGGATGTTAGTGATCCCACTCACAAGTTTCATATTATATGTCACGCGGACAGAAATGACTCTTCTGCACAATATCTACAGATGGTGTTGCCAAGGGTGCCATGAGTTCAAAGCTGCACTAATTCACATTAATAGTAGATCAGTCTTCTATGTGTAATGTGAAAGGGGTCAGTCACAGTGACAAACCCACAGAGGATTATCAGCCATCTCCACAGTTCCCTTCAGCTACTGAGAGTGTTTTGGCCTTTTTTTTGGATCATAATTTTGGTTCTCTGGCCTGTAACTCTGCTCTCATCAATTCTGCAGCAAGCTGTTTTCAGCAAATAATCCGACCAAACAGCAGACAGACAAAGTTTGTGACTATTTGGTGAACATAAAGGAGAATCTAGCTGCTTGAGACCTGTATATTTCCCTCAGGAGCTGGTGGAGACCAAAACAGAGTTAAAAGGACAGCAAATATTGGACTTAAATTCACTGGGTGGCCAAAAACATAACTGAATATATGCTAATATAGCTTTGTTTCTGCTGAATGTGCACGGCAACTGTTAGCTAACATGTGAGCCATAACAAGTAAAAAAAAAAAGTCAATTCTATGAAAACAAAACAAACAAACAAATACCAATGGTGTTGTCATATATATGTATATGTGAATATAGCTATATATTTAAATTGCAATGGTCAACCCTTTAAAACCCCTTAAAACCTGGAGCAACACCACTTTTCTTGTATTTAAGTATTTAAGCCCAGTGATTTCTTTCAAAAACATGGGAAAAAAGGCAATGACCAACTTGATAAGAAATGTCCCACAAATCACAAAAAAATTAATAGATTTAGAAAATTATTTTTTTTTAAACTAGAGGGAAAATAGCTAGGAAAAATCTATTTATGTTTATCATTATTATTATTACATATATATAATTATGATACAGAATTATTGGAATTATTTATGCCTTTTTTCAGGTCATTTCTTTGTTTGTTTTTTGTTTTTAAGTTTGTTTGTTTTTTTGTTTTTGTTTTTTTACTAATTTTCTATTTTTAAAATTTTCTCCTTTAACTAATTTCTTGCAGATTTTTGGGGTCATTTTTTCTTTAATTGCTCACTGCCTACTTCCCATGATTTTGAAATAAATCAAGCCAAATTGCTCAGGTTTCAAACGGTTAATTGGTGACTGTAAATTGCCTGTAGGTGTAAATGTTAGTGTGAATGGCTGTCTGTCTCTATGTGTCAGCCCTGTGATAGTCTGGGGACATGTCCTGGGTGTACCCCACCTCTTGCCCAATGTCAGCTGACATTGGCTCCAGCTCCCCTGTGACCCCTAACAGGATAAGCAGTAACAGAAAATGAATGAATGAATATATATATATATATATATATATATATATATAGATATACTCAGTTCATCCAAATTATAAACATTATCCATATGAAGCATGCCATTCCAATCTTGCAGAAATGTTAGGGCCTTAGCATTTTTTCTGAGCATCAGCATCTTTTTTCAGTTGTTCCCAATGAGGAGGGAGAGTATACAGCTGCATGTGGCGGCTTAGAGAAGAGTGCTCTGACTTTTTTGTGCTGCCACTCTGCTGAGCGCTTCTAGTTGTAAATCTCTGCCCTTTTCAGAAAGGTGCTGGTGTCGTCACTGCCATTCCTGTAGCTACTGTCTATCCCAAGCGTTATGGTATGTCAGTAAGAAACTATCACAGCAAAGACTGAATGTTGTTGGTGAGTGTTGTGCCTTTACTACTGTACATATTGTAAGCTTTGTTGTTAATTGTGTATTTAACCCTCTGTTAAAGTAGCATAAAGTTATCTATATAGCTAATGATAATGATAGTGTTGGCATTGGCAGCTCTGTTTTTTTTTCCTAAATAATGCGCAGGGATGAAGCACTCCCCAGCGCCCTGCCACTACTTTCCTGCCAAAGAAAAATTCTACATGGACACACACTCTCAGTGAGACAAATGACACCCTTTAAGTTTAGTCAAGATGACAAATATGGCTGTTATTATAATTAACACTATGATGTGACAATACACAACACACTGTAAGAGGGGTGAAAGTGTTCTCTGCAATTAGGGATCCTTCTCACATTCACACAGCTAATCAATCATGTTCAGTCAAGACAATGAGGTGGCCTTTATAAAGTGACATGTCTTCACTCACTCCCGTGATTATTATGCCTCCTCCCCACAAAGCTGTTACCGGCTGTGTTGACTGATCTTTCCCTCTTCCACCTTGCCCCCCCCCCCAGTTCCAGCCTATTATCATGCTTGATGATGGCATCTCATACCTTTAGCATTATGCTCTGCTGAAACTCTCACTGCCGCTTGGATTGCAGAGCAGGTTCATGAACAGAGCCCATTCCTCCATATAAAAGTGTAACCATTTGTTACAATAAATGGTCCTTTATTCTTTGATGCCAGTGTCACTGATGCTGTGCTCAGAGAGAGGGGGGAGTGCTGCTAGTGAATGATAAGGACACTGTCCACAGGTGTTGCAGAGGAAACCTCTGGGGCACAGGTGCTGGCAGGGTCGGAGTTGTTTAATGTGAGCAAAGCTGATATTTGATGAGCAAAATTGCCTGACTGGGCTGCACACCCAGGTAAAAAAAAAATATAGAAAAAAAAGCTTGGTTATCTGAGCTTTGCCTCAAGATTTTGGCAAGGTTCCCAACTGAACATGTAGTAACTGTTGGTATTGCTGTGATAAGTATTACTTTCAGCTTGCCCTTCAGATATTAATATAAGTAATTTGATAGTTAAGTTACATTTAAAGCAGCTTTATTATTATCACTATTAGACCAGCCCAATCCCCAGCAAAAAATGTTGGCATTGTACTTTTTTTGCAAACCAGGAATACATTATATTTTCACGTTTCATATGTATCATATCAACATTTCTAAAGTGATGTATATGAGCTGATTTTGTCATCAGGAGGTGGAGGGGATGGTGGATGCCGTGTTACCTAGGCAAGATGTCACCAATACGTAGACCACTGTTCAAGACCAAAACACAACAAACCAGGTTGTTTTGCTTTTTGTTTTTTGGGGTTTGTTCTTTTAGCAACCAATTGCTGTTTTTCCCAACATGGACTGTGCCATGAAAAGCAGTTTTTCTTCCAAGGTATGGCTGTGTTTCTTGCCAGGATTGTGCCTCCAAAACTAGATATTTTAAGCCGAAACATGATCATTTCCCTAACTATAACTAGATGTTTTTTGTGCCTAAACTCAACCACATGTTAACCACAGTGTTGTTGACACCTAAAGTTTCAGTGTATCCGTAACATAGTAACACGCAAATGCAACGTATCCATTGTTTTCAGAAATGTTCAATGCCAACATTTTTTTCTGGCAAATGGGTTAAAGAGATATTAATTCTAATTCTAGTTTGTCCCTTTTACATGGTTGGATTGTCCTGTTAGTTGGCCTCTAACAAATCCTCCACATTAAATTACATAACGTAATATATTATCCTCTTCCTTTGCCCCCATCA